TACCAGGGTGCGATGGCTCTTTGATGATGTTGGCAGCCTTTCCATGACAATGAGCCATGTAAATGGAATCCATGGATGGAAGGTTGGCTTTCGTGTTGGCTGGGCTATGCACACAACCTTCGGTAGTTTCTTACGGTCCTGGGCAGAGCAGTTGCCAGGCCATTACGCACCTGGACACTATGCTTTCAATGGTGCATTTTTGAAAGTTGGTGAGGGTTCTTATGGACATGCCAAATTTCCCGAGCCGCCTGAGGAAGAAGAGGTATTGTTGTGCCTTCTTAGCTATCGCATCTATGTGGAACATCCAGGACAGGCTGTTGGTTATCATCACTCATAGGAACTTGATGCTTTCCAGCCTCTCAACCTCAACTCCATGGATGTAGATGGGGGCGTGTTCTCCTTCTTTCTTTCTGAAAAGAATGATCAGTTCTTCAGTTTTGCCGATGTTGACAGAGCGGTTGTTCTCACCGCACCACATCACCAAACCCTCTAAACCCTCTATCTCCTTTCTGTATTCTGACCTGTCCTTGTTAGATATCCATCCTATCACGGTGGCGTCATCAGCAAACTTGTAGATGGCGGTCATTGGAAATTTGGCAACACAGTGATGGGTGTACAGGGAATACAGTAGTGGGCTGAGGACGCATCCTTGGGGGGATCCAGTGTTCTGTGTTATTGTGGAGGAGGTGCAGCTATGTATCTTCGCTGATTGCTGTCTGTGGGCCAGAAAGCTGAGAATTCGGCTGCAGCAGGTGGGGCTGAGACCAAGGGCCTCGAGTTTCGAGATCAGTCTGGAGGGGATAATGGTGTTGAAGGCGGCGCTGTAGTCAACGAGCAGGAGTCTGACGTGGGTGTCATTGTTTTCCAGATGTTCCAAGGATGAGTGCAGGGCTAGGGAAATGGTGTCCACTGTGGAACTGTTGCATTGCTAAACAAATTGTAGGTGATCGAGGCAGGCTGGGAGACCAGAATTGATCTGGGCCACGATCAGCCTCTCTAAGCATTTCACGATTACGGAGGTCCGAGCCACTGGGCAGTAGTCATTAAGGCACACTACATGTGCTTTCTTAAATACTAGGATGATGGTAGTCTTCTTGAAGCAGGTGGAGACTACAGCCTGTAGGAGGGAGAGGCTGGAGACGTCAGTGAATTCCACCGCCAGTTGGTCTGCACAGGATCTAAGTGCTCGTCCATAGACTCCGTCTGGGCCCGTTGCTTTCCTTGGGTTGACTCTCAGGAAGACCGTTTTGACGTGTGCAGCAGTTACAGTAGGCGCAGGTGCATCCAGGGCAGGCAACACTGCGCCACTGGTATTCTGCTCAAACTGAGCATAGAAAGCACTGAGCGCATCAGGGAGGGCTGTGTCTTTGTCAGCTATCTTGTTCTGCTTCATTTTGTATTCAGTAATGCTGTTTAGGGCTTGCCACAGGGGACGGGAGGCTGTTTCATTGGTTTGGGCCTCTAACTTGGTCCGGTATTGCCTTTTGGCATCCCTGATTGCTTTACGGAGGTCATATCTGGATCTCCTGTATAGGTGTGGGTCGTCAGACTTGAACGCTGCCCGTCTGATCTTTAGGAAGGAGTGAATTTCCTGGTTCATCCGAGGTTTCTGGCTGGGAAATACTCGGATTGACTTCTTTGGTACACAGTGTTCCACGCATTTGTTAATGAAGTCCGTGACGGTGGTGGCATACTCATCTAGGTTTTCCACCGAGTACTTGAATATGGTCCAGTCCACAGATTCCAAGCAGCCCCAGAGACAGTCTTCCACTGCCTCGGACCAGCATTATACTTCTTTCTGTGAAGGGTTCTCCCGTTTCAGCTTCTGCTTCTAAGCTAGGAGGAGGAACACAGTGTTGTGATCTGATTTTCCAAAGTGTGGGCAGGGGTTGCAGCAGTAGGCATCTTTTATGGTTGTGATTCAGGATGTTCAGCCCTCTGGTGGGGCAGGAGTTGTGTTGGTGGTACTTTGGAAGCACTCTCCTGAGGTTAGCTTGGTTGAAGCCACCAGCCACGAAAAATAGGGCCTCGGTGAATTTCGTCTCCAGTGTTTGTGGCAGTATAAAATTCATCTAGGGCATTCTTCACATCTGCATGGTGTAGACTGCTGTCAGGATAGCAGAGGTAAACTCCTGCAGCAGATAGTGGGAACAGCATTTTACTGTAAGGTATTCTAGGTCTGGGGAGCAATGGCTTGCCAGGGTCACTACGTCCGAGCACCAGATCAGGAAGAATACCCCATAAGCCCTTCACCTTACCCAAGGACACCGTGCAGTCCACGTAATGCATGGAGAACCCATCTGCTTGTAGGGCACAGTCAGGAATGGCAGGGGTGAGCCAAGTCTCCTTGAAGCAAAGCACACACAGTCTCTCAGTTCCCTCTGATAGGTAAGTCTAAATCGGAGATCATCCATTTTGTTTCCAACAGCCTGGACATTTGCTAGGAGTACGCTGGGGAGGGCGTTCTTGAAACCATGTTCTTTCAATGGTTATCAGTGCTAGGATCTCTGCTGTTCGTGATCTACATAAATGATTTCAAGGAAATTGTAAAAACCGAAAGAACTGCGGATGCTGTAAATCAAGAACAAGAACAAAAGTTGCCGGAAAAGCTCAGCAGATCTGGCAGCATCTGTGAAGAAAGAAAATCAGAGTTAAATCAGTTCTGAGGAAGGGTCACCAGACCTGAAACGATAACTCTAATTTTTTTCTTCACAGATGCTGCCAGACCTGCTGAGCATTTCCAGCAACTTCTGTTTTTGTTGTGGAGGAAAATGTGGCTTGTCTAATTATTTAGTTTGCGGACAATACAAAGATTGGTGGAGCTGTGGATAGTGAGGAGTATTGTCAGAGGATACAGATCAGTAGGAGGCATGGGCAGAAAACTGGCAGATGGAGTTTAATCTGACAAATATGAGGTGATGCATTTGGAAGGTCAAGTACAGGTGGAAATTATACAGTGAACAGCAGAATCCTTAGGAGTAATGATATGCAGAGAGATCTGGGTGTGCAGGGCCACAGATCACTGAAGGTGGCAGGGCAGGTAGATAAGGTAGTAAAAAAGGCCAATGGCACGCTTGCCTTCATTGGAAGGGGCATTGAGTAGAAGGGTAGATGAGTTATGCTGCAGCTTTACGGAACTTTAGTTAGGCCATACTTGTAATATTGAGTACAGTTCTGGTCATGACACTACCAGAAGGATGTGGATGTTTGGAGAGAGTACAGAAAAGGTTTACCAGGATGTTGCCTGGTTTTGGGGATTTTAACTCTGAAGAAAGGTTGGATAGACTGGGTTTGTTTTCACTGGAACACAGGAGGTTGAGGGATGACCTGAGAGAAATTTATAAGATTGTGAATGGCATGGATAGAGTTGATTGATTGATTGATTGATTGTCACATGTATCGAAGTACAGTGAAAAGCTTTGTTTACGAACAGTACAGGCAGATCATGTAAGCAATGTTGTACAGATCAAAAAGACTTAGACAGAGGCATACAGGTTACATTGCACAGGGTGCGCTAGACAAGATCAACGTTAACAAGATCAGCATTATTTGAGACTTGAGAGTCCATTCATCATTCTAATAACGGCCAGGAAGAAACTGTTGCAGGACCGCCTCGTGCATATGTTCAGGCTTCTGTATCTTCTGCCTGACAGAAGAGGTTGTAGGAGATCATTACCGGGGTGTGATGGGTCTTTGAGGATGTTGGCAGCCTTTCCGTGGCAATGAGCTGCGTAAATGGCATCCATGGATGGATGGGTGGCTTCCGTGATGGTCTGGGCTGTACACACCACCTTCTGTAGTTTCTTAAAAGTCCTGGGCAGAACGGTTGCCATACTAAAACATTATGCACCCAGACAGTAGACTTTCAATGGTGCATCTGTAGAAGATGGTGAGGGGAATGTATGAGGCTGTTCCCCCCCAGGGTGGAGAGGTCAATTACTCAGAGACCTGGAAGATTGAAGGTGCAAGAGGTGGGTGGGAAGTTTAAAAGAGATGTGCGAGGCGCGTTTTTCGCACAAAGGGTGCCTGGAACGTGTTGCCAGAGGTGATGGTGGAGACAGACACAATAGCAGCATTCAAGAAGCACCTGGATGAATACCGAATACAAAGGGAATACAGAGATATGGATCTTGTCCGTGAAGACAGTTTCAATATGGAAGGGCAAAATGTGTCAGCGCAGGGCCTGTTCCTGGGCTGTATTGTTCTTTGAAATATGGGCTTATTGAGCAAGGAAATCAGGAGAAACGAACAGCTAACAGACTGTCTCAGTGTTAGTGACATAGGAGTCAACGAGTTTCATGTTGCTGGAGGCAAGGTCAATATACAAGTCACAAAACATTCAAAGAATAATAGTAAGTAACGCACCTCCTGTTTCTTTGTTGTAGAATTGGATCAAGATTTCCAGATCTAAGTAATTAAGAAAACTCCAGCAACTTTCATGAAAAGGTGAACAGTACAGATAAGATAAAGGTATGCAGGTGATTTAGTTTGGGCAACAGGAGAGCACAAAATTTGAAGGTAAAATGACAAAAAACTTAAAAACATCAATTAAAACTCGAAATCAAGAGCAAGCACAGCATTATGTTCTCAGCATGTACAGAACAAAATATTTTTTTTAAAAAAGGCTGAATATTATGTTCAAGAGATATTATCGACTGAGTTATTAATAAAGTTGTTCAATTCCCAAGGGTTAAGCATTTGTAATCTTTAAGCAGGGGGAGTCTGTGATTGAAAGTGTTCTGCATGATCTGAGCAAAGTACTCCAAATGCCTCAACAATTTTTTTATTTTCCAAGGTTTCTGCCAAGCAACCTCGCCCTTTATTCAAGTATAAAAATTTAAATATACTAAAAGTGGATTGAGTGGGTCAGAAAAATCAAAAGTTACTAAATTACCTGTCCACACATAACCAAACTTCATAATTAAGAAAATCAGAGTATAGGCATGTATAATTGATTTCAATTAAATTAAAGCAGTCAAAATTTACAACAGCAAACATACCTCCTGTTTTCTCGGCTGTTGTTGAAAAGTTTGATCATATCCGATAAGAAAACACGCCGAACTTCCATAGTTTCTAAAATCTGAGGTGAGTGCCTCAACAATGTTGCAATCACTTTCAGCATTTCTGAAAAATAACAATCGTAGAATGCAATTTTAAAACCGATAGAACTTTCAAAATAATTAATACTTGAAAAGATGACTCAAGCTGATCTGTGACTCATGGAATTCAAAAATCAAGAAAACTTGCACTTTTGTTTAAAAAGTATGCCTAAAAAAAATCCACCTGCTAATTAAGCTCCATATAATACACTAAACAAATTAAATTTACACTTAAATATAAACAGTTGTGTATTTTGGGTGAATATGTAGAACTCACAAATGGATTTCTTAGTGATTGTTGCTGGTCCTTATTTATGCTCTTTTCCACAACTTGAAACATTCTCTCTGCATCCACAGTATCAAAACCTTTTATAATTTTGAAGACTCCAATCAAAGCAGCCTTTTTTTTTGAATAGACACAAGTTGCAGCCAGTCAATCCTTCCCAGATACGTATACCCTCATACTACTTGTATCATAGAATAGTTATAGCACAGAAGACAACCATTTGGTTTGTCATTTTGCAATAGGTCCCTGCAAAAATAATTCACCTTATGCCAGTGCCCTGTCTTTTCCTCATAGCCCTGCAAATTTCATATCTTCAGATAATGATCCAATTCTTTTCTGAAAGCTACTGAATCTGCCTTCACGATTCTCAACAGTGCATTCCAGACCCAAAGAATCGCAATGTAATGTCACATTTTCTTTTATTGCCAATCACATTAAAGTAATGTCTTCTGGTACTTCATACTTACACCAATAGGAACAGTTTCTTCCTATCTATTCTGTCCAGATCCCCCATGACTTGTCTTACTTTATTAGTTCTCTTCTCATATTTTTCTTTTTTGATGAGAACAGCTCAGATTTAACATAACTTTAGTTCTTTATCCCGAGAACCATTCTCATCAATCTTTACTGCACCCCATCTCAAGCCTTCACAATCTTCCAAAAGTGTGGTGCCCGGAACCTGCCATAATAATACAGTTGAGGCCAAACCAGAATTTTATACTAGCTCGTTTATAATTTGCTTGTTTATTTTTGAAACATTTTAATTCTATTCATTAAGCTTAAGATCCCCTGCTTTATTAACTATGCTTTCAATCGGCCCTGCAACCTTCAATGATTTGAGCACGCACCTTCAGTAGTATGTTTCTGCACACATTTTTGAATTGTACACTTTATTTTGTATTGCAAGTACGTTTTATTCCTAACAAAATTGATGATTTCACACCTCTTTGCATTAAATTTAATTTGTCACTTGTCTACCCATGCCACCACATGACTGTATCTTTTTGAAGTTTTACGTTGTTCATACTCACCATTCACAATACTTCCAAATTTAGTGTAATCAGCAAATTTTGAAATTGTGCCTTCTGGACTAAAGTCAGGAAATTAGTCTACATCAAGATGATATTGTTTGGGATCTTATCATCAACCCCTGGGGAACCCCACTATAAGCCTCCTTCCAGCCAAAAAACAACTCTTCACTACTATACAATTTCCTCTACTCAGCCAGTTTCATTTCCATGTTACTACTGCCCCTTTTATTTCAGAAAAACTCTTAACTTTGCTCAAAAATGTATTGTGCAGCACTTTATCATGTGCCTTTGAACACCTATTTATGCCACATCAGCCACAGAGCCCTCATGCCACCTCAACCCACATTTGTCCAGTGACTGTTACTGTTAGAAACAGTAAGTCCCCATTGGGCAGCTCATGAAAGCTAGACAATCGGTGGTGGTTTAACTTGAGGGTCACCACACATCAGGCATGGGGAGAGTTTGAGAAGGAGTGCCCTTCATAGTAACTTCTACCAGTGCGAGAAATTAACTCTCACCATTGGTTTCACTCTGCATTGCAAAGTAACTGTCCAGCCAACTAAGTTAACTGACACTCCCAATTCTGTCACTTGGAATTATGGATGCTGTTGGTTATCTTTTTTACACAGCTAATTCTACATTCTAAACACAGATAAAATCATATTTCACTTAGGATTCCAAGAGCCCAAATTTGCAGTAAATGATATTAAGTAGTACACGTACAGAAATCCCTCAGTTTCACAGTACAGAGTAAAACCCCAAATCAAATAAGGTTTTAAAAGCAATTAAAACATTCAGAAAGTTAAATGAGATAAATACATACTTAAATTCCCATTCTTAGATGGCCAAGGAACATGAAACTGGTCACTTTAGCAATATTTCACATGCAAATCTCCACAATGGGTAGTCTTGTATAGTTGGTTTCATAATAGTTATTAGTAAGGCTAGTGTCCTTTACCTTAGGAAGCTTAAAAAAATACAAAGCATTGCTACAAGTACTCAGCTAAAGAAACACTAGCTCTTACAGAGACAGTGAATATGGGATTCTTTTTATTAAACATTCTAAGTGAGATTTTATAAAATGAGCATGGTGATGATAATGTACCCATTCAACAACATTAAATAGATAAACACTCCAAATGAGATAGTAGGCACTCTAAACGAAGTGACAGAGCAGATTGTGCTTGATACAAATGCTGGAGCCAAAGGGAATCTCAAAATAAATAAGTGGATGCAAGACATTAACTGTCAGATTACTTTACAAAATCCATAAAGAAATTGTTAGAGACCTGAATGGTGGGGCAAATGTTTTGTACAAAATAAAGTCACTGAGATTTAATTTGTTTCATAATTCTAATTTTTAAAGTGGAAAGAATCTGTCAACACATACAACTTATGTAGAATTACATTTCTCACAACCTCCATTATTTCTTGATTTATACACTGCCCTTTAGCACATCTACTGGTAGTTATAAATGACTCCTACCAGTCACTTTTTTCACATGTTGTTTCTTATTTCCATGCAAAAATGATTCTAAAACTTGATCTTCCAAGCGAAGATTTCTCAGTAACATCCAAAATTAATCATTTATTAACAAATCTGCCCTGCATCCTTTTACCTTGTCATGAAACATATAATGCCTATTTATTTCAATTTGTCCTATCAATTCATCCATGCTGTTATAAACATACTGTTAAAAAAAAGTTGCAAAGTCCCAGAGGACTATAGGTCTGCTGTCTCATTACAAAGAGGCAACTGGTGGTGAGTTCATCCTGAGGATCACTGGGCCTCAGGCTAGAATCAAGGTTGTGAAGGCCAGACCTTCATGGTGACCTCAGACGTGCAGGAATTGAACTCATGCTGTTGGTGTTACTTTGCATCACAAACCAGCCATCCAGCCACTGTGCTGTGAATGTTCTCATACCTGAATACACACTCAGATAAATAGCCTTGCCAGCACTGGCTACATCTTAAGTGCAGACTTACCTAACTTAATTTTGGCTCCGTTTTTGAGCACAAATATCATAAATTTCACACAAGCTGTGATTGAACTTCTCCTATTTTATCAATTATTTCCTCAGCATTCAAGAGTGCATGTCATCAGAGCCAAATGCTTTTTCACTTCAAGTTGCACCATTTTGTTTAATTCCCCCAATTACACACATCACTTAATTCAATCATCAAAATGTAGCTTTGGTTGCAATCTCGGAAATTCTGCCTTGATTTTATGGTTGAAGTAGTTGATAGGCAAACAAATCATAATAATGGGTATAAACTGGACGACTCTTTTAATGCTTACGTGAGTTTTGTATCTTCACTGTTGAATCTGGGTCAGGATGCTGCTTGTGTACAACTTGAGTGCAAATCTGCTCAGTCAGGATCTTAAGAAAAGAGAGAGTTCAGGTATAAACAAATGTATCACAAACTATGCATTCCCACTTTCTCAGTCCAGAGAAAACCTGAAACATCTCATAAAATGGATTCCTTGCGAACAAGCGAGCGTTATCATTATGTATCTGGACTGAAACTTCAAAATTTAGACTACTCTCAAAAAATACAATGGACATCTATGCCAAGTTGCTGTCAGTGAGATGCATGTCAAAAAGCTAAGGAATTATGATGTTGTCCTATGAATAAAGGTTACGCACCACACATAAATGCCAAAAGGGCCACAACAATGATTCATAGACAAATTTATTCCAACAATTTGTTATCCTGCTCCTTCACACCAACAGAAACATTGTACAATGTATGTTGAAGTTTCTGCTCTAACAAATTGACAGAATGTTGATCTATAGCTGTTACTAAATCAGGTACATTTTTCAAGCCAGTTGCTGTAATAAGTCTGACATCTTCACATACACAGGGATTAATGAAAATTGAAGTGGGAGAAAGGATAATTATCAGTGCATCCAGATTCCTTGGCAATATACACATTCCACTTCTCCTAGCCCCTCGTCGGTGTATTCAACTATGTAACATGTATTTATTTGATTATTAATTTCTATGTATGCTGTTCTTACTACAATACCATCAGTGCATCCACTATGTTTGTAGCTACTTCCTTTAGTATCCTAGCATACAACCCATCAGGTCCATGGGACTTATTGGCTTGTAGCTTCATCGGTTTCCAGACTACTTGTTCTCTAGTGACAATTGTATTTATTTCCTTCCTGATTTACAGCATCAGCAATTCTTTCGGTTTTTATTTAGTATCTACTCAAATGCCAGCCCAGGTGCCTTTTAAACGTTGTAACTGTACCCACCTACACCACTTCCTCTGGCAGCACGCTCAATACGCACACCACCCTCTACGCGAAAATGTTACTCCTCAGGTGCTTTTATAAATGTTTCCCCTCTCACCTTAAACCTATGCCCTCTAGTTTTGGATTCCCCACCCTAGGAAAAAGACTTTGGATATTCACCCTATCCATGCCCCTCATGATTTTATAAACCTCTACATGGTCACCCCTTAGCCTCCGACACTCTAGGGAAAAAGCCCCAGCCTGTTCAGCCTCTCCCTATAACTCAAACGCTCCAATCCAAGCAACATCCTTGTAAATCTTTTTCTGCACTCTCTCAGGTTTAATGAGATCAAAACATTTCCTGGTTCCCCATTATTAGTTCCCTAGCCTCATTCTCCAATGGGGTTATGTCCCCTACTTTGGCCTCTCTCTCTTCTTTTTCATATATTTAAAGAAACTCCTACTGTACGTTTTTGCATTACTTGAATCATAGAAAGCTGGTATTCAGGTACAGAAGGTAATAAGGAGATCAAATGGAATTATAGCATTTGTTGCTAAAGGAATGGAGTATAAAAGAGAAGTCTTGCTGCAATTATACAAGGCATTGCTGAGACCACATCAGAGTACTCTGTAGAGTTTTGGTCTCCTTACTTGAAGGTGGATGTTAATTCATTGGAGGCAGTTCAGAGAAGGGTCACCAGATTAATTCCAGAGATGAAAGGCTTGTCTTCTAAGAGATTGAGTAGTTCATGTGTATGCTTGCTAGTATTTAGAAGAATAAGAGAAGATCTAATCAAGGCATATCAGACCCTAAAGGGGATTGACAGAGTAGATGTAAATCAGATGACTCCCCTTGTGGGGCATTGTAGAATGAGAGATCATAGTGTGAGGCAAAGGGATGACAGATTCAAAAGGAGGAGGAGGAACAGGAATTACTTCTCTCAAGGGATCGCGAGTCTGGAATTCACAGTCCTAGAGTCCAGTGGATGCCCGGACATTAAATAAATTTGAGGAGGAGACAGACAGATTTTCAATCAGTAACATGTTGGAGGTTTAAAGGGAAGCCAACAGGAAAGTGGAGTTGAGGCTGAGATGAGATCAGCCCTGATCGTATTAAATGGTAGAGTAGGATCGAGGGGCTGAATTGCCTATTCCTGCTCCTTGCTTTTATGCTCCTGTGTTCTGACCCACGATTCTCATTCTGACTGATTTCTAAATTTTATCATGTTATGGTTACTATTCCTTAGGGAACCCTTTACTCTGAGATGATTTATAAAACTTGTCTCATTGCACATTATCCAATATAAAATAGCCAGATCACTGGCTTGATCCACAACATATTATGCCAAAAAGCTGTCCCAAATACATTTTGAATGGCACACCAACCTGACTGATCAGGTTCATTCAGTCATTGCGTCAAATTCCTAAATCTGCCTCTCTGAAAACACTACAGATATATTCACAACAGATGAACTGCAGCAATTCAAGGCGACAGCTCATCATCTTCCCGAGGACAATTAAGGGTAAGCAATGGTCTTGTCAATGATGCTCAAATCCTATTCCAATAACTTCAAGAAACAAAACTTGATGGCATTTCAAATTCCTTACAGAAGTGTCTGCATACTTCTGACTGATCCCAAATCTCAATGCCATGCATTGGTCATATCACACTACTTGTTTGATATTCTTCATGTTTCAACTTCAGCATTTTCCTCCACCTTTTCTCCACATGCAACTTCAACAGCCATATCAAATGCTGCTGCATGCATTTTCATAAAGTCACATACTATAACTTGGTTTCTTTGTGAGTAAATAATTTGCTATGCTTATTAGCAGTCATGGAAGGCTCTATTCCTTTGATTTTGGAATTCCAGATTGCGATTTTTTTTCAATTATGTGTATGTATTATACACTCCGCAACTATGGAGGATTGGTAATGGAGCAAATAGATATACTGTTACAAATGACTCACCTCCTGACACCCCAAAGCCCTTTCACAGTCTACAAAGCACAAGATTGAGGAATATGCCCAGAAAAGCACAATTCCAACCACAGTGAAAAAGCTCATCACCATCAAAACAAAATAGTCCACTTATTGGCATCCAACCGTCTTCAATATTCACTCCCTCTACTACAGATCGACTGCAGCTACAGTGTGTACCATCTTCAAGATCCAGTGCAGCAGCCTCATCAGACTCCTTTGGACCTTCTAATCCCCTTACCTCTACCATGTAGGAGGACAAAGCAACTAAACACCACCACCTCTATGTGCTATATCTTCCTGACTTGGAACTATGTTGCTGCTCCTTCATGGTCAATAGATCAAAATACTGCCTGTGGGCAAGGCCTAGACCATGGGGACTGCAGCAATTTAATGAGGTGGTTCACCACCATCTTCTCAAGAGAAGATTTATGCAATAAATGCCAGCCTTTCTAGTGATGCCCACAGCCTAAGAACAAATTCATTAAGTAAACATATTCAGATTAGTTTTGCTAGTTGAGTGCTTTAAACATTCATAAATAAACATAAACCACATTGACATCCTACAAGAAGGGCATTTTACTTACAAAATATATCTTAGTAAGCCAATAATTAATTAAAATCTCAGATTACAACTAATTAATATTCAATCATTTATAACTTTCATTTCAAGCTGAGAGATTGTGCAGTGTGACTAAATTCAGATGTATAACCTCACTTATTAAAGGGAAGTCATGTTATTTCTTACATTGCATGTTGACTATGTGGAGAACACCATGACCAGATGAATAAATTTGAATAAACTAAATAATGCATACCTTCCATTCGAATTGCATTCAACATAGCAAAACTATTTAAGTGCAAAACCTGTTCATGTTTGGTGTAGTATTATGGCAAAAATAGTTGAAATTAAATTAGCCAAGTTGAAAACAGATATAAATCTAATTTTTTATAATTTTATTACTTGGAAAAAAATCAATATTTTGATTACTTAATCCTTACCTCAAATAAGACATTATACGTAGTCATGGAAATTACATTAGTGTGTAACATCAATCTTTCTGCCAACAAAGAGAACAAACCATGTCCAAGCATGACTTCAGCTTTGCGCCTATAAAAGAAAGCAGTGCATAAAATCTCTAAAATTTCATTCGCAATAGCAATCTCAGATCAGTAGACAAAAATGGTAACTGAAAGCCTATGGGCTGAAGGATTTTGATTCACAGTGCTCAAGTTTTGAATCTCACAATCCACATAGATTAAGAAACAACTTGCATGTTTCAAAGGAATATCTTACAGCATCTCTGGACAATTAATTGAGGAAATAGATTACATAAGAGTTTACTTGCACGTACTTTGGAGCCAGATGCTTCAGAAAGTATCCCATCACTTTTAAAGCTTGCACTCTTATCCCTTCATTTTTTGAAGCCAGCAGTTTATAGATTATCCTATAAAGTGTCAACATAGAACACAGTCACAAACTAATGGAAATAGGCATGGTAAGATTCTAGTCAATACTAGTAATCAGATGACAACACTCCAAGAATCAAAACAAGAAATCATAGTTTGGAAGTTAAAAAATCTCTTTTCTATCAACATTAGCTGTGTTCAAAGATAAAGTGACCAAAGAGAACCAGCCTCTCAAAAAAAAAGTAACTTAACAGTGTATTTAACATAGCAAAATGTTCCAAAGTACCTCACAAGAACATCGAAAATCAAAATTTGATTCCAAGCAACATAAGGAGATATTAGGACAGCTGCTTTGTCGAAGATGTAGGTTCTAAGAAATGGCTTAAAATAGAAGACAAAAGATGAAACAAGAAGTTTTAGAGCCAAGACCAAGGTAGCTGGTGACAAGAATAGCGTGGAAGAGGTTACAGAGATGGAGGGGGTGAGACCATGGAAGAATTTGACATCAAGAATAAGAATTCTTTTAATCAAGGTGCTCCCAGATTGGAAACCCAAGTACATTTGTGAGCACAAGGCTGAAACACAAGGGAAACATGCCTGAAGTCAGGATACAGGCAAAATTAACTTTGGGCAAATCCTAGTTATGGGATACATTGAGTAGGTGATGATTAGTTCAAGACCCACTCCAGAAATTTGAGCAAACATCAAGTAGCATCCTTTGATTAATATGCTGAACAAACATTCATCTGCCCATAGATGATGTAAAATACGTCTTTGGATGAAAGTTGTACAGATGTTTTATCTGTTGTCTTAGCCAAAGCATATCCTTTAGATAGAGGGTCTGATCAATCATTTCTGTACACAAATGACTGAAAACCTATATAGATCAGTCAGAATTTGGTGATGAATGAATAGGATTTGGACTACATTAGGATTCTAGTAGAAAGAGTTCTAGATAAGTTCATACTGAAGGTGGCAACGAGAGAATGGCCAAAAGAACAAAGGAATAGTCAGATTCACAGTTAGGTTGAACAAAGAGATGTTCATGACTATCTGAATAATTTACACTGTCCAAGTATGAGAAGGAACAGAATTTGGGAAATTCTAAGTTCTTATTTCATGGTTTTCAAAAAGTATCTTTGACAATACATAGAATATACAGCATCTTTTTAATCAAACAATAATCAAAAAAGTCTACAATTTTCAAATCATTTTCATTACCACGGCACGGTTGAAAAAGTTCTTCCTTTGCATATGACTCCCATTGAACCCATGTTATAAACAAAAATGACTGTTAAATAATGAATTGACAAATAAAGGAGGTAAAATAAGTTTGTCCAATAAACTATTTAATCCCAAATTCTGAATAAATCCCAGTTCGTACCATGCTTTCCCCCATTGAGGTACTAAGGATCTCTACAGACAGAAAGCTGGTTCACCTAACATTAACCTATTTTGAAGTCTTTTTAAGATTTATAGATGAGGTCATGTCTAAACATTTTCATATTTCATCAGCTTTAAAATAAACACAGCATCGGAAAATTCTTTCCAATTTACAAGTCAATCATTCGGAAGATTTTCTGTACCTACAATAACGGTGGGTGCCATAAGGTGTTAAACAAAAGGATTTATACATCAATTGTTTTAGAAACTGCCCAACTCTAAATTCAGCTTAAAGTTCAGATAGTAAAACTATTTGATAAAACACCAATTACAAGGGTAATAGATTCCAAAGTTCTACATCTATTTTACACAATCAATATGCCTATAAGCAAATTTCAAGCTACTAATTTCAACAACCTACAACATTCCATTTCAGAACATATAACTTCATGCCTAATATTTTACCGCATTCCATTCCTCTGATCAAAAGCAGGAATCATTGAGCTTGGATGCTCAGACATCAGGGCTACAAGCAGCTGTAGAACATCCATCAGATTGTCATCCTGAAACAAAAAGAGTTTTTTCAAGAAACACACAGAATTCAAAATACCATAGTTTAGCCAAAAAGTCCATATCTGTAAGGAAAACTTAAATATCATACTTTAGTAAACAATCTTGTTTCAAATTAAATTTAGTCACATGGATTATGAAATTAATTCAAATCTTACCAATTTTATACTGGATGCATGAATACATAGAATTAATCTCCCTTTAGAAACTTGTAACAGTTCCTTTTTGCTATTGTATCAATAGTGATAAGATTGTGAAATAAAATTATTAAAAAACAGGAGTTGATTCACCTCGTTTATACATAACCAATGTGAAATTTGAACACACATTTTCAAAAGAAATGCTGTCTAAACCTGACAATATTCCTCAAAAACTTGGACAAAATTATTTAAAATATTTTACATTTTAATAAACTAATTTAATACAATTGATCAAAATATCCAGCAACTTGACAGATTAAGCGAAAAATAAATCAAATATTATAGATAACTCCTAAAGCAGATATGGTAATCTATTCACTGCTCTTCACATATTAATTGAAGTAACTTAGATTCAATATTATCGAACCAGCTCAGCATTAAACAGAACTAATGAAAATCTTTCTTGAAACTCTAACAACAATTCCAGCTCATGAAAGCTGTTTTATACTTAGTGATACATGCTTCAACAACATTGGCTTCCTCCAGCCCATACCCTCGTGAATTATTCAAGACATTAGAAATATGGTCATATTCTAATAAAGAAATTAAGGAAAACTGCTAAACTTAATAAAAAGAATGCCCAATTCACGTTTGTATGAAAACAGAATTAATTAGGGGTGTGACATTCCCAGTAACAGGGAAATGTTCTTTATTAATTTATTAAAGTTCTACACAGTGAACTTTGAAAATGTACAGCTCATAACAAACAATAAATCTTGAACCTTGGAAAGTTATAGAACTCCGAATAAGAAACTGACTCCCTGCATTAGCACAAATTAAGATACGAATTAATCGGAAGAACAGCAATTATCACTTCTTATAATTATTTATTAGCATTGTGACCAAATGCTGTGAACAAGGCAACACGTGACCCTTAATCACTTATACATATGGCATTGTAACATTTTTTATATGAACATTTCAAATGACAATTTGAAGATCACTGTGTGGAATGTCCAAAGGATCAAACTTTACATTAGTTATTTCCAAACTGAAGGTTGCTGTTCTTTGTAAAGTTAAATAGTTCCATAATCAGTTTCTCATTATCCTTACTTAAAATTCCAGGTGGATTCTCATCTTGTGGCAATACTTACATTTATACCTTTGTATAGATCAGGAGAAGTAGGCCATTCAGCCCCACCAACATGCTCTACTATTCAATAAGATAATGGTTGCTTTGGTTATAACTTCAAATACACACTCCTACCAACCACTCAACCTTTCAACATTTTGTTTAACTGTTGATTAACTTGTAGTAACCCCTTACTTAAAATGTTCCTACAAAAAACCTTTTGCACATCAACACATGATTCTGAATGCTTTTTTAATTGATGATTTCACGTTCAGAGTTTATTTTTCACTCAATTAAATAAAATACCATGTTATAACAAATTTCAACACGTGAAACACATGAAAGCAACACACCATGATTAACATGTAGATTCTACACATGTCACTTAGCACTATGATCAGCATGGGTAGATGTCAAAATAGACAATTTATATTATTGCTCAAGAAAATGCTTTGCTTAACAATGGTCATTCTTAACAGCAAAGTTGAATGTTCTCACTATTAGCCATAATGCTATTCATTACACTTGTGTGCTATAATTATTTTCAACAAGTCTAAATTTATCACTATGAGTGGGATAAGAATTAGTGAAGCAAAGATTCCTAAAGATGTCTCTGCAACATAAAATTTTAAATAAATTAACAACTAACATAACATGCCTTGTGTCTTAATTAGACACAAAGTATGTAATCAATCTTATGTAGTTCATGTTTCGAAGTTTCATGTCTACATTTGTTTTCAAGATTAAAAATACATTTCGGTTAAAAATTAGAACAGCAAAGCACACTTGGAAATACTTGACTCAGACTTATCTAAATTGTTGGGGTTGCTTACCTCATGCATGGTGAGAAGATAGTTAAGAATGCTTTGCAGTTCATCTTCCTTAATACCATGATCCTAAAGGAAGATGCAAATTAAATATTTCATAAAATACTAATTGCATTAAACAATTTTCTCTTACTCAGATTAAGAACCACTGTCAAATTGCAGATCAGTTGTCAAATTTGTCAATTTGTGTTGTTTTAAAATTATATATAAAATGGTTAACTGACAATCAATTATTCAAAATCACATCAGCAATTTCACTTAATAGCCAGCCACCAAGCTCCTATCTGGCAATAAAGTAACAAATTCAGAATGGAGAGAAAATTTGAGTATATTATAAATATGGAGACACCTGTCAAGATTTATTCTTAAATGAATCAAAGATACAACATATCAAGTGTATTACAAAACTGTAACAGACGTTCAGATTGGATTCACTTTCATATTTTTCTCAAATTTTGTCATCCTAAATCCAAGATATTAGAAGACATCAGCCTCTAAAACTCCTTTATTCCATTTTGCATCATGAAGTTAATTCAAATGAGCACTTTTTACTTCAAAATTAGTTGTAAATTTCTGAATAGTTTAAGATCAGCAGTGACACATGCAAACAGCAGCAGTTAAAATCATTTTTTTGATGATGACTATTTGAATACTCAAAAGCTGCTCATTTGTATTTTGGTACTTCAGAAAATACAATTGAACGAGCCATCAGGAAAGCCATAAAAATCACACTTTAATGGAATCCCTGTTCCAAATCAAAGCCCAAACATCTACTGGGATTTTAATACTGAGGTATGAATAAAGAACTATCCCCTCCTGTACTTTTACCAAACACTGGCCTTCATCTATTTTCAGCTGATCAACACTCAGAACTACAAAACCTTTTAAAGTCTATGTATACTGCATTAAATTCACTATCTTCAATTATCCTCCAGCACAATACGAGACAAGCTATTTGTTTATTGCACTGTCATTAAGGTACCATCTGAAAGTTAATTAGCTCTTTCCTTAGAGATATTTCTCATCTTCATGCATTTCTTACAAGACGATAGAATATTTTCTGTTCTTATTTTATATTATTTGGCATTTCCCTTTCATTGTTCCTCCTTACCTTTCTAGCAGTCTTAATACTTCCTTGAACATCATATTTAATTTTGTCATCAACACCTTTACCATTTATATACTTTTTAATACATCTTTTCTTTCAGATTCCATCTCAACCCTAATCCACCTTTGGTGTTTTTTTTCTCATCAGTTCGTCTTTTCATGGGCAAAACTTTTGCCTGGACTCTTGATCATTCTTAAAAATTGTCTTCGTTATACTTCTTAGTCAATACTTTTCTCTAGTTTGGCCCGTTAATCTCTGTTCCTCAGATAATGCATCATATTAAAACTGTAGAAAATGCCAGAAAATACCCAGAACAGAGGGACAGCATTCCACCTTTGCAAAGTACAGGTCAATTTGTCAGATAACAACAGCATCATACTTGTCAACAGGTTTGAGGACAATGTTAGGGTTGGACCTGAGAGAACAGAGTGCAACAAATTCTAAACCTTCTCCATCTGAACAGGTGAGTAGAGCAAAATGAAAACAGCACCATCCACTTCCTGGCTGAACTTCTCTGGCTTAACAAATTTCTGTCAGATAAAGAGTATTATGTATGAATACCACATTCCATATTCCAATCAGATTCAGGGCTCTCTTTCTGTACATTGAAAAATGTGCTTGTGCCCTTTTCAGGTCTTACCCGAACTAGATAAGTTCAAATCACTGCTCCCAATTTCCACCTTTCTTTCACCTTCACATGGTCTGTCTCAGGCTCTTTCTTTTTTGTATTTTCTGTTTCCATTTGTAGGGATTTCCTACGAGCAGCCCACTGACTCAAAGACACCTTGATTACACTTTCTCACACATTGCTTCATTGAATTCCATTTCCCCAGGTTCTTCAGCTCCATCACACTTGTTCTCAAAAATGTAATTTTCCATACCAACATAACTGAGAAGCCTTCCTTTTCCTCAATTGAAGATCCCTCTCCACTTGTTAACTGGGCCCTTGACAATGTGTGTACTATTTCCCACAATGCTGCTCTTATCCCATCCCTTCACTCCAAGACCAACAAAAAGGTTCCCTTTGTACTCATCTCACAAACCATACCAGTCTTTGTATTTATTGTCTAAGTCAAACCAGCACAGGAGGCCATTAGCTCAGCAAGGTAAGCTGATTCTCTGGAATAATCCAATCAATACTAAACTTCTGTTCTATCACAGCTATGTAAACACATTTCCCTCATGTCAATCCTACTTCCTTTTCCCATCATTCAGCATCTCTGCTTCCACTGCACACAAAGATTGCAAAGTCCAGGTCCTTAGCACTTGCTGCTTTAAAAATTGTTTTTCCTAGCATCCTCTATGTAGCTCTTGTTCAACATCTTGCATCTCTAGCAGCTCTCTCTCAAACTCCTTTGCTGCAAGAACATCTTCATCTTCTCCGACATAGAATCACTCATTCCTGGAACCATTTTGGAAAATCTCAATACTCTCTCATAGGCCATCACATCCTTTCTGAAGTGTGGTGAAGCAATTTGAAAACAATCTTCAGGTTGTGGCCTAACCAGAGCTTTATACATGCTCAGACTAATGTCCCTGATTTGGTACTCAAAGCCTCTATTTATAAAACCCAAAGTTCCTCAAGCTTTACTCCATATTCTCTGCATGCCCTGCTGTTTTCAAAGATCTATGCAAATGAACTTACAATTCCCATAGTCCCTGTACACTTAAGAATTGCAACCATCCTCCACCAATTCCTGTGCAATGTCACCATCTGACACATCTTCCACTCCCTTCCCTTTTCAGGATGTTAAACAGACATTTCCGTCCACAACATTCTCATCCATTCCTCAATCATCTTAATGCTACTTCCCTTTCTATGGTACCTTTTCATAAAAGATCATTGCAACATCTGCCATTTCCCACTTTCCTCGTCAAAATACAAGGTTACAAATACCTAAGGCTAAACTGAAAAAGTACATGTAAATCACAGTTTCATCTAATCACCTTTGTTTGGAGTCAGAGATGATGAGAATAAATTTAGTGTATTCTAATTTCTACTCAATGTGGTCTGCTGTACATGGTGGCGGGGGAACCTATGTGCAACCACTTTGCAGAAGGTGCATGTTCAGTCCATAATAATGACTCCAGAGCTTCTGGTTGCCTGCCATTTTAATTTTCCACCATTCTCTCATGCTGACACAGCCTACTGAAGTGCTCCAAGGAAGCATAACACAAGCTTGAGAAATGGACCAAATCTTTTATTGAGGCACTATAAAATACCAGGTTCAGCAATTCCTGATGTTAGTCGCAGCCCCATTTTATCTTCTTTTTCATCACATGTCGTGGTCTTACCCTCCTTATGCTCAGCACTGAAGCTATTGCTTTCACACAGCTACATTGTTAACAGATTAAGAGCTAAATTTTAACAAAACGTGACACTCGAGTGTATGGCCCAAGGAAGAACTGATTAGTTTTCTGGAGAAAATATGGATCCAGATGCCGAATTTTTTAGAAGGATCCGTTAACAGTGGGAGACAAAATGAATTGGCCTTTTCTCTAGAGAATGTCTTATTTTGAAACTTTTTCTCAAAAGTTATAGATTGTCCACACTACTGTCACAGCTGTCAAAATATGAGCAGAGGTTTCAGAGCAGGTTGGAGAATTGACCTCAAGCATCCTTCCTGATATGGAAGCTCTTAAAAAGAGACTTCTTTTCAGATCTTTGCAGTTACAGACAGACAACCAGCTAGAGAGGCCTCAAGAAATAACTTTGTAACTGTATTAACAAAGAGCGGTAGGTTTAAATTGCTCTAGTGAGTGTCTTCTTCACTTATTTTTTTCCCCTGATTTTTTTCTAGCAATTTTTCACCACTCTGTTATTTATACCTGTCTTGGCACACTGATCTTCTTTGCTTGTTCCACCCCAATTTCTTTGGCCCTGCTCCAATGCTTCTGTCACTTCCCATTTCTAATTTTTCCAACCCCTCATATTTCACTTGATTCAAACTTTTCCCATTTCTGAAGATAGGTTAACTCTGCCCAACTCTCCAAAGATCAAACAATGACCAAGCATTTTCTATTTTTATTCCAGGTTTCTAATTCCTGTAGTATATTACTTTTGTTTCATTCCCTCAGGTTTTTCTCCCCACCCCCCAATTTATTACTTCAGTCATCCTACCCTGTATCAGCTTCAATTATTACCTCAGTACATTGTGATAATTACTCCCTACACACACTTTCCCATTTTAGTCTCATCTGCCTCAGGTCACTTTCCATTACAATGTCTAGCTGGGCTCCTTGTCTGGAGTAATATCCTGACAATGCATGTCTATTAATCAAATTATAGCTTCCTTACTCAAAAAAGGAAGGGAAATATCAACATTCAAGATAGCACACTTCATATACAAAGACCTTCTACCCACACCTTCACATGAATGGATAAAGCATTTCCATGGTGAAGAATACTGCAATACAATATCAAATGTAACGAACACTGATTACAAGAGCAGAGAGATTATGTTGGAGCTGAACAAAACTTTAGTTAGGCCACATCTAGTGTACTATCTGCAGTTCTGGTCACACAATATAGGAACAATGTGATTTCACTGGAACGGGTGCAGGGGGGATTTACCTGGAAAGTTACTTGGGATGTAGCATTTTCGCAATGAAAACTGGTTGGATAAGCTCTGGTTGTTTTCTTTAGAGCAGAGAAGGCCGAGAAGGGCCTAGTTTGAGGTACATGAGATTATAAGAAGCATGGGCAGGGTGAATAGGAAGCAACTGCTTCCTTTAGTTGGAGGGTCAGTAACAAGACAGCATAATTTTAAGAAGGTTTAGAGGGGATTTGAGGAAAAAATCTTTTCACCCACAAGGTGATGGGAATCTGGAATGCACTGCTTGGCAGAGTTGTTGAAATGGGAAACTTCTCAATCTTTAGCAAATACTTAGATAAGCACTTTTGTGTCATACCTAGAAAGTCAGACTAATGTAGATTTAATTCAGCTTTGTTAGTGCAGGCTTGATGGGCTAAAGGACTCTTCTGTGTATAATTCAACCTTACGTAATTTCTGGGAATTTAACAAAGACTCAACAAAAACTACATCTTCCAAAGGAAGTAAAGTTAACTCCATGACAATAAGTCTGCATGCAAAGCCATTTTTCATAGCAAGTATGGCATTACATTTTTAAATTTCAGATTCTCACCTTCATTATCAATTGTTTCACAAACAGTAGTAAAAGAGCTCGTAAGGAGAGGATCTCTTTTTGGTTTGGTCGGAGTCCATCTGGGAAGGAAAAAGCAATATCGTAAGATTACTTAAAGCATTTTTTTAAAAAATAATGATGAATGCTGATGAAGCTTCCTCAGACGACCACTATAAAAGAAAGGGTTAAAATAAGCATCGTGCCTCGGTGAGATACTGCACTGGAAATCAAGCCCCACTATTCCCAAAGACATCTCAAAAGTTAAAAATGTTTATCAAAGTAAACAAAGTCCACAATTTACCTGTCAGATAAACCCAAGCTAACCTCGAGGTGAGAGTGACAATAACACTACGAATTTCACACACAGTTTGAGGAGTGAGAAAGTTGTCTGTAAAACTAACGCCCTGTATTTAAATAACAACAGTTACAAAGGTATAAAGTCAAAGTTGACTACAGGGGATTAGAAAAATAGGATCAAATAGTGGAGAAGCAATTTTGGACACTTAGAGTTATTTCATAACTCTGAACCATCAATAGCAAACTAAGGAAGTTAGGGATGGTACCAAATTGAAAGAAAATGCATACAATGCCATGGAGATCAGTGGCAGAACACAATACTGGGGAAACTTAAGAACTCACCAAAGGACGACTAAAAAAAAAATTAAAGAAGTGAGAAATTATCATATACAAGCAAACTAACATGAAATAAACTAATATGAAATATAAAAACAGATAGCAATGACTTTCTCACATATATAAAAATAGAGTTGCAAAAGAAAATGGTGGTCTCTTAGAAGATGAGACTGGGAAATTAATAGGAAATGGCAATACTTTAAACAAAGTCTTTTGCATCTGACTTCATGAAAGACAACATTAAAAAAAAGCAAATTAGAATGAAAGAAAATTGAGGATAACTAAAATGGAGGGACTTAAAATAAACATGGTGATACAAGTAGTAGTATAGGGAAACTGAAACGATCATTGATAATATGTCCACTCGACACAATGGCCTGCTGCTTAGCGCCTCAAAATAAGTGACTTCAAAAGGTGCAAGATTCTGAATTGCCAGAAGTCCAACACCTCTATTCAACAAAGCAGGAAACTTTAGCCTATCATTTGGACATGCCGGAATCGGTTATTAATCAAGTGGCAGCAGATCATAACACAATCAGACAACTTTATTATATTCTTTGCGCAAAGGGAAGATCTTGTTTGACAACTTTATCAGAGTTCTTTCAAAATGTAACTAGCAGGAGTCGTTTAAGGGGAACTCATTGATGTAATGTATCTGGATATCCAATAGCATTCAATAAGATGCCAAATGAAACTTCACTACTGAAGAATCCTTGGTGTTGCAAAATAATATATTAACATGAATAGAGTACTGGCTACTAGGAAACAGAGGATCAGAGCAAAATCTTCCTTTTCTGGTTGACAAACTGTCACTAGACAAACATAACAGGAAGCTCAACTAGCTACAATCTATATCAACGACTTGAAAGAACAAAGTGTATTGTACTGTACCCATCATTAAAATAAGTCCGCATCCACTACTGCCACTTTTCCCTCACTATACTTCTCATTTTTTTTAAAAAAGTTTTTATATCTATGATGACTTTCTATACTATTGTTTTTCCTTAAAAGCTTGACTAGTCCACCAGATTTCAATAAAACAAAAGAACTGTGGATGCTGGAAATCTGACAAAAACAAAAATTGCTGGGAAACACAACAGGTCTGGCAGCATCTGTAGAGAGAAATCAGAGTTAACTTTTTAAATCCCATGACACTTCTTCAGAACTGATAGTAGCTAAGAAAAAATGGTATATATGACAAGGAACAACCCCAGGCTCCCCAATTTAACTTTGTAGCTAAATTCCCTCGTTACTGAAATCATTCTGTAAATCTTCTGTGAACCCTCTCACAACTGTTTGAATTCACTGACTAAAATTGAACACAATACTATAGGTGTAGCCTAACCAGAGGGTCAGCATAAAATATCTGCTTTTGTATTCAATACCTCAATTTATGAAGCCCAAAGTTCCATATGCTTTGCACACCACCTTTTCAATACACTTTCAAAGATGTATGCCAATGTACCTTCAGGTCCCTCCTGGTCCCTACACACTTTTAAAAAATGTGGTTTAATCTATATTGCCTCTATCCCTTCTGCCAAATTGCATCATGTCACATTTCTGTTTTAAATTATATCCGCTGCTCATCTGTCATCCTGCTAGCCTATGTCCTGTTGAAAAATGACATTCTGGTTCAAGCCATGTCATAATACTTCTTATAATTAACAGTTCTGGCCAATTTACAGTGATCAATATATTTTTCATCCCTTCAATATTGTCCTACATTAAAAAAAACTTAACTTGAGATTCTTTCTCCACTACAGACCTGATAATATATAGAATCAATCATTTAATGGTAACTATGTAAAATGTTTCCTTACTGAAGCTGCTTTTTATGCAGTTTTACGTTCAGAAAGGCTCTGGATTGAGTCCTTGGACCATCAGTTCAGATATCACTGCATAAACAAATTACAGCTTCTACCTCAAATAGTTTTCACACCAACAAGATCATCTCCTATATTCCTTTCTTCACACTTCAATTCTGTCCAAACTTACTACACCTTTTGCAGAAGCAACATTTCTCAACATATTAGAAACCTTTTAAAAGAAAATATTTGCCACAACTCCTAAATAAAATTTGTTTCTTTTTATAGTG